TGTCAGGTTTTCTGTTTCACTTAGAAAAGATAGTCCAGTAAACTACAGCCGTTGTGGGTAAGGGGAAATGTTGTGAAATTAAAAAGTAGTTATGTTTTGAAAAATAAATGGCAATCCTGGGAAAGAGAAAAACTCAAGGAAAAGCAAATTAGGAGTAACATGAAAATAGTATCACTTGGCAAGTTGCAAGGTTGGAGGTCATATTAGAAGGTCCCAGGATGGTCTATTCATTTTTTGTAGTGTTTTTCATCCCTAGTTACTTGTGTTTGCCTTTTTGGCTAAAATATGGCTACAAATCATGCTTGATCTAATTTACCATGGAGGCAAATCAGGCTGATAAATATTTTATCTTATTTAAACTATACACTCCATTTCTGGTGGTATAAAAGAGCTGGAACTACAGTTAGTGGTATTACTTTAAAAAAAAAAAAATGTGACAAAAGGGAATCGAGCCTATAGATGTGTAATAGGAGGCAAATGATTGTTGCCGACGCGGAACAAGGAAAGCCTTCTGTAAAGGGTTTTATGTAATTTTGTTCAGCTGAACGAAGTGGAGAATACTTAACAAAATTGCCATTTTTAAAATCTCATTGTGAATACTCAGCGTGCTGTGATCATACACTGTGTAATGGTGTTTGCAATGAATAAATTGCTGTAGATACTATAATATAAATAACTGTTTTGTGCATTAAGAAGCAGTTCTCTTCATGATGGTTTCTATCTCAGGAACGCTCTGAAGACAGGACTTTAGAGAATAAAAGCATCAAAGTACTCTTTGAGTAATACCAGTCTGCAAAAGTGCTGGGAGACTTTTGATAATTTTTAGTGATACTATTTAGAAGTGAATAATAAAATCAACTAAGTGATATTCACTTTGGTCTTAATCTATTTGTTATTTTTACTGTGACCAAAACTTATTAATTTTAAGCACAACAGAGCTTCAGTCAATAATTTTTAATGGTTCCAGCGGCAGGAGTTTAGAGAAAGTTAACCACAAGAAAAAAAGAATTGGGCTTACACAGACTTTCGGCACACTGACCTGGTATGCTGCAGGTTTGTTGCAAGAAAGAAAGTGGCAGGAAGCCCCAAAGTTAAACTGCATATCTCTGTGGGCGATAAATGGACCTCTAGAAACACCTTGCTAAAACTAGAGAAGATTGACAATGAAAAAATGCCGTACCGTCCTGAATTCAAGTGCTCTCAATAAGCATAAGAAGCAATATCTCATGTTATCCTGTAATACATTACTGCTCCTTTGACAGCTCGTTGGGATCGGTTTTTCCTTGCAATCACGCTTACCACAAACAGATTGGTTCCAAAGCGTAGATGAAAATGGTAACAGGCTTCAATAAAAAGGAGTTGATAAAAGCAGGATATAACCACTTTGAAGGAATTGTAGCATGAGTTAGAAAAATGTCTTAATATCCTCCTTCTCTTACTGCTTGCCAAGAGTACTTTTTTTTTTTAAGTTTCTTGTGGAAAGATGGTCTCAATCAAAAAACTGGAAGAACTGGAAGAGAGTCTGAGCCAAATTTTTCAGCTGAATTCTCTGGCTGTAATGGAAACTAAGTGGTGTAAGGGATTTGTCTGAAGTTCCTCTTTCTGCCAAAGCCTTTCTGAGCGACAGCTGGCCCAGTCACTTCACCCTCAGTTTCCATTATGAATAATTAAGTCTAATGACAGATACCTACTCAAAAATCATACTAACCTCATCTAATTATGTTGATATTCCAACATACATAAGACATAAATTCCCAGTAATATTACAGGGTGACCAAAAATACTGGATCTAGTATAGACCCAAATTTGAGTGTTAGATCATGGAAAGCCAAGCTTTTTCACTACATATAGCGTCTAGTTAAAGTAAAATGAACAACTCTTTAAAAATTTATATATATTGTTAATTTTCTTAGAGTAATTCAGATCTCTTGGGCTTCAAATTTAATGCTGAAAAATTTCTAGCTTTGGTCTAGATTATCATTAGTAAGAAGCATGAGCATCTTCCAGCATCTTAATAATGGCACTTTCTGCACCATCTAGATGAAGGAATTAAGATGAGGATAAATTAAAAATAAAAAAAAAGAAAGATTTCAGGAGTTTTCAGCACATTTTCAGGAAAAAAGAAATTAAGAAAAGGTTATGCATTCCAAAGGTACAAATTTGGGGAAGGTTTATTTCTTGGTAAGTGTTTAAGTCATCAATATTATAGCCGAAGTAAGCACTTATCTCTAATTCTGAAAGGGTTTATTTCTTTAATTGTTCTTTGATTTTACTGCTTGGAGACTAGCCTGCTACTTTTGTTCATAGCAGAGGTGTTATTAACCATACAACTGTGCCCATTGCCACAGGCAGTCTCAGTGCGCGCTGCTATCTCTTTGTTTTTTGTTTTGTAGAAATGTATTCCTTTGGCTGCTGTGGCAACTGTTTATTAGACACATTTATAAAAGTACCTACTGATATCACTGTAGCATCTGGGTAGGCAGCTGTGACTCCCGTCCTCTTCCCTACGCCGCTGTTGCTGCAGCACCCGCTCTGCTTGCTCTTCATTTTCTACGTCTCGGAAGAAGGGCAACAGGGAAGGAAAGAAACAAAATGAGGAACTACTGTACTGTAATAAAATCCACCCCCCTGCACCATTTTCCACCCTCTCCTCCTTTCTGGAGAAAAGTGAAAAATGGCGGGATGTATTGATGGGTGTTGGGGAGAGAAAAAGAAAGGGGATGTTACGGAGAGGGGGATCTGCATGTGCCTGAAGGGAGGAAGGATCCACTGTGAAGAAGCAGCAATGAATTATCGCTATACAGAGAGGAGGTGGGAGAGAAACCACCTTGAAGCAGAAAATAGAAAAGACGGGTTCTATGAAGAAGAACTGTCAGTAACAAGGGAAGAGAAAGCATGAAGGCTCAAGAGGTGGTGGATCAGAGGAGAGAGAATTGGGAGCAAAAGAAATCCAACAGCTGGCTGGTGCTGCTGGCACTGTCTGTGTCCATTCCAAAGCCACAGGCCCACAGGAGTGGGACAGCAGGGCTGAGAACCACGGTTGCTTGCGGGGCTGGGATGCCGATGCTCCTCAAGAGCACTACTTTTGCATTTTGTTGAACGGGGCTGGGCTGGGTGTGCAGATGAGTCGAAGTCACCTGGTGATGCGAATCTGCGATCTTCCGTTTTGTCACATCCATCCTCTTCCCTCAGCAGCTGTGCTCTGAAATGATTTTGCCAATCTTCCAATATTTTTGTATCCACTTTTGCCCTCTGGGCAACTGGCCTCCCAGAAGCATTCGCAGGGGGCAGCTAGAGGCAGGATCGGCTCCGGCGTAACTGTTAGCTGTGCAAGAAACAGGACTGCAAGACAAAGAGTTGTGTGTCTTATAAATGGAGATAATTCTATGGTGAGCTTCTCTCCTCAGAGAGAAATCTCTTAAATAGTAAGGTCAAGGCCCTGTGTAATAAAAGGAAAGGCAGAGGAAGAGACTTGAGTGTATCCTTCTTCTTTCTGCTGTCGTATGGTACCGAAGATAGTTGAGAGGGTCTGCGTCCTCCATGGACCGCAGCTAGTGCAGGAGTACCCCAGTTCTGATTTGTGTTTCTGTGTGTGAAGGCAATTCAGATTAGGTATCGTAGTAATAAGAATGAATTGCCATAGACAGTGCCATGGAAAGTGAGTTCATGGACAAATTTAGTCTAATATCCTGGTCCTGCTTTATTCTGACCTGCTATAAAGGATAAGGATAAAAATGAACTTAAGCTCACCTAGTCCAGAAGAATCTTTCCATTTCTTTCTGAGTCCTGAGGAATGGGAAGGCCTCCCAGCCATCTCACTTTCCTGTTTTATTTGGCCTGATCTCTTCTGCACACACACCATTGGCATGTCGGAACTAGAAGGTAATTTAAGTTCCAATTCCTTTTCTTACTTCTTTGTTTTGTGCTATAGAGTTTGCCTTTCTTTTGTGTTAAAGAGTACAGTTACACTTTAAATGTGGGTACCAGCAAGATTCGGAGACCAGGAATGGAAGGGAAGACATTGAATTAGTCCTCATTAGGACAAGAGGAAACGGTCTCAAGTTGCACCAGGGGAGGTTCAGGCTGGATATTAGGAAGAACTTCTTCCCTGTAAGAGTTGTTAGGCATTGGAACGGGCTCCCCAGGGAGGTGGTGGGCTCACCATCCCTGGAGGTGTTCAAAAAATGTTTAGATGTGGCGCTTCGAGACGTGGTTTAGTGGGTTTAGTGGGCATGGTGGCATCGGGTATACGGTTGGACTTGATGATCTTTGAGGTCTCTTCCAACCATAATGATTCTATGATTCTATGATTTTCTACAGTATAAGGTTATGCTACCTCTGGTTACAGGTGCTGGGGAAGCAGGGGGTCTCTGTCAAGAAACAGAAGTTAGATCAGAAGATAATAATATTACTTTGACTAATTTATTCCATACGACTACTTGGTGAATGTGGGATACTGTTGTTTCTTTGAATTTCTGTATTTTTACTTTTTTGGGTTATTCTCTGAAAATTTAGTAAATTTGTGTACAAATCACAGCTCTGATAAAACTAAAAATCAACTGTACTTTCATAACTTCTCCAGATAGGTTTTCATCTGGTGTGTCTCATAGATACTGTTGTTTTCATACAGCTCTCCTAATACATCATTTTAATTTTAATCTTTCAGGATATTCTAAATGCAGGGAGAGCTTGGTGTTTATAATGGGTTGTATTGGACAAGCAGCTTTTAGCAGCACTACTTTTCAAGTGACTGCCTGCCTAAAACATGTTGAGGGAATAGAAAATACTCAGTGCATTAAGAATATTTGAAGCAAAATGAATTCAGTTATAGTAGCATTTAAAGTATTTTGCTACTAACTGTAACTGATGTGCATACATTTCACCTGCAAGTGTGTACGTGGGAAGCAGTGGCAGAACTAAAATACGTAAGGAGAGTGAAATAAAAAGGAGACCATTTTACATGGTTTGACTCCTTTGTCCTGAATTTCATATGACCCAAAATGACCCATTTTGATGTCATTCTGGAAGAGGAAGAAGGCTGGCTCCATGTCCACCCACCCCAGCTCTTCCAGCAAGCAAAGCCTCCCCAGCGGGTAAACCAGGCAATATTCTGTGCGCGGTCTCGTCAGCCGTAGGGGAATAATGACAGCAGAGAGCTAGCTCTTGACAAGCCATTGGTAACTTCAAGTCTCTGGGGCCTTTATGCTCAGCTGCACCTCCTCGGTCCTATGTTACAAATTCCACTTGGGAGATAACGCTGGAAACGTGGAGAATCCCAGCTCCAGGGTGACACAGCCTGCTTCTCCCTGAGGTCCTTCATTGCCTCATCCCACAGAGTTGCCCGAGTTTCAGCGTCAGGGCTCAAACTGGGAGGCTGCGCTGCTGGTCTTACATCGGACCTGTCCTTCTCCTTAACGGCTTTATCCCTTTAGTTCTGCCGCTTCCACCTGGAGCTGCCGCAGCCACCGTTGCTTCTCCCCCGAAGCCGACTGATTTAGCAGCGGGTGAGTAGCAGGCAGGATGCCTGTGCTCTGGCCCTGGGTCAGTTGAGTTCAAGACAGATTTAGTCTGCCCTTTGCCGAGCGGGTGCACATCTGAATCTGTCCTTCCAAAGATAACAGAACTTCAGGCACTGAGATGTTTGGTTTGCTTTCTTTGAGATCTGTGGTTTGGTTGCCAGTAACATTAATAGAGCTGGAATATAAATCATACTGGATGTAAAACATTTGGGCTTCAGTGTGCCGGGCAGATATCCATGTAGAGAGAAGGGCAATTAAATCCTCTTGCATTATAAACCTTATAGAATAAGGCTCTGGCTGAGGTCTTGCACATATGGGAATTTTCTCTGGTGAAGCCTGATGAGTCGTTGTTCTTGTTGCCAATAGCGTGGATAAATAAAAGGCTTAACAATTAGGAAAGAAGGCAAACAAAGATAACACACCTGTCAAACTTTTTGTGTTATTAATGTGCGAGTGAAAAAACATTACGCTTGTGCATGCTGTTGCCCTTAATACCAGCTGTTGCCTGTGCACATGGATCGGTATTTTACATCGGCTGAATCAGCCTTGCTGCCAGCAAGCACTCTAACAGGCAATGTCGATAACAGCAGTCTTCTCACACTCCGTACAATTCAAGCTATTCTTCAAATTAATAATAATACTTAATAAAGCTTCATCTCTCATTTGCAAAGAAAACCTTCAATTAATGTTAATCAGCATCCTCAGAATGTGATACGGCTTGTAGCTGGACGTGCCGAAACAGTTCAACTGGCAGACGGAGCATTTTCCAACTATTCTAATTAATGACTGCTCATTTCAAATGTTAATGCAATTAAATAAATAGGCAAAACAAATAAAAATAATATACATTATGAAAATGCCACTATCAGAGAGAGCTCCGATCAGAAAAGTGAGCCTCACTCAAACCCAGAAAGGGCCCAGCCATCCCCTCCTGGCTAAATAAGGTCTAATAAAGACAGGGCTTGCTTTTGTTCCTTGCTGTTTCCAACCATTTCTCTGGGATTGACATTTGTATCACTCCCATTTTAACCTGCTGGCATCAACAGAGTCATTGCTTCTCCAAGAATTAGAACGTTTTTCTATAGAAAATGGGAAGGGATTTCTTTCACATATTACAGGCTTTTTTTCATGTAAGATTTAAACTGCCCCTGCTTCTTGCCTTTTCTATTTGAACTAATTGCCTGATTTTTTTTTTTTAAGGGTTTTACTTTCTGTGAACCTTGTATAGCATAGCACTGATGTAGTCCCACATTCGTTTGGGCTTATAAAGAGTTCAATTAGCCCCTTAATGCCTACTTCAGTCACAATTAAACCTTCCCTGTTGACTTGGGATTGGTCTTTCTAAAGGCAGTGGAGGTGTTTTTAATTATTCATTCTCTGGTTTGTTTCTTACAGCAGTCTCAGCTGTGCTTTATTATTCAAAGGTTAATGCAAACTGAGAACTGGGTAAATTAAATTTGTTTGGCAGCTAGCAACCTGATGTATTATAGACACTGTGAAATATGGATGGCAACACTTCTGCTATTGTGACACTTAAAAAGCCAGATTTTATCTTTAAAAACAATTGCTAGTTTTCTTACTACGGCTGATAGAAAACGAATGTTCCCTAATGTTACAGTCTCTGTAACCCATTTTTGTTAAGAGAGCACGTAGTTTAGAAAGCCAAGAAGCATTAACAACTATTATAGAAAATTGATGTAGGTACCATGATTAATGAAGTACACCGCGCAGTACTAAGTCACACAGTTGTATGCAGGGAATCGTGCAGTCAGAAGTTTTAATGAAGGGAGCCCAAGGAATTTCAGGTGAAAGAGGGTTTTATTAACTTTCGGTGAACAAAATGAATAGTTGAGTAGTGAACATGATGTGATGTCGTATAATAATTGTATGCCTTGGGTACATTGTGAGGCATGGAGCATAGCCAAGAGCTTTCATCTGTTCTACACACAGGGTTGTTTCACAAACCCCTACATGCTGTGGAAATCTTTATTGCAAACATAACAAGAGTTGTTTCACAAGAAATGCCTTAAAACAATGCCACGTGATTTATTGGAAATATCTAGCAGCACTACCTTCCTCTGAAAATATTAATCGGATATCTAGAAGTCACCATCCAATTGATCCTAATTAAAATTCAGATCCTGTATCAGTGACTGGTATCAGCAGGCTGTGAACTGAAAAGAAGTCTTCGTATTCCTTAAGAGGCCACTCTGAGTAAAATATGTATTTCTATGGACAAGCATTGTGTTGTATGAAAGAAGGCTGTGTTGGCTTTTGGAAGAGTCATGTCCAAGAACTTCTATTAGTTTTTAATTTGATTTTGTCAGGAATTGACTGTGTGGGTGAGAGATTTTTCTTGTTTCACATACAGGATTACATTTTGTACATTTTAAATATTGTTTCAGTAGTGTGTTTTTAAATGAGGACTTTGAATGGACATAATCCAACAGTTTAACCCGCTTCCTGTGTGTAATATTTTTAAGATAGGGTAACGATTGCAGAGTAGAGCAGCGTTCTGTACTAGTGACTGAAGACCGTAGGTCAGTAACTTAGAAAGTGCAGCAGCTGCAAGGTCGTTTGTACCCTGCTCACTCTTTAGTACAGTCTGTACCGTAATAATAATGTGTGTAATTACACTGCTACTGACTGGTGAGGTAGGTGGATGAGGAGGGAGGTGAAAATAGGATGCCTTGTGAGGCAAGACAGTGACAAGACATCTCAGCAAAGTCTCTGTATCCTTGTGCTGTAAATACTTCATATCTGCCCACTAAAATATTTGAGATAAGACAGTCTGGGAATTTTTCTGTGCTTATTTGAATAATTTATAATGTGATTTTAATACTTCTTCCTAGCTGAATATATCACTTCACTGACAGAGCTTAGGACACCAGTTACATGTTTTATCCAGGACTACCTTAATGAATGTGATACACAATTTTAACTTGTAGTGGTATTGCAAAACCAGCTGTCCTACTAGTAGAGTATAACTGATGCAGTATATTCTTGACTGTATGTGGTTATTATGTTATATTTTTGTTTTCTATTTTAGTGCTGGACCCAAAGGAGACAACATTTATGAATGGAGGTCAACTATACTGGGGCCTCCAGGGTCTGTATATGAAGGTGGAGTTTTCTTCCTTGACATTACCTTTTCACCGGACTATCCTTTTAAACCACCTAAGGTTAGTAGGAGGATATTAAAAGTCTGATAGGAGTCCTCTCCTTGTGATGTTTTTTATTGTGTATGTTGGTATATCATTGTAAGATGAAACATAAAACTTTCAAGGCAATAATGAGTATTGACACTGAGGATTTTGATGGGAAGAATTTAAGTAACCACCTAATATTTGCCTGCACGTTGCCAGTGTAGCTGGATGGGTAGAGGTTTATTTAGCAAATGGTTGCATAATTTCCAGCAGTTATTTGTTTGATTTGGATTTGTTTCTAATATGAAAGCATTTATGTTTGAGTTGCACCCTTTATAAGCAGCTGAAGATCCTTAATCTTTCCTATTGACCCATATCATTCACCAGGGGTCTGCGGCAGTCTGACAAAAATATGCACCTTTTGCACTACCCCATTTAAGTTACTTCTGCAGATGCAAGATGCACTGTTATTCGTGAAGTGATAAGTAATTGCTTTACCTCAGTTTTGTGGAGGAATGTGGAAATACGGCAACAAAGGCAAGAAACTGGAGTGAAAGACAGAGATTTACAGATTTCCTTCCGGATTTATTTTCTAATGCTGTCAATAATGACACTAACCACAAGTATTGTACTGTACCAACGACATGAAGGTGGCAGATCATTACTGTGATCAAGTAGGCTTGGAATGTCAAACAGGAAAAATCTAGTGATTGTGAAGACTGGAAAACAGAAATGGGATGAAATGTAGTAGTGCAGAGTGTCATTGATAACCAGTAATAATAATTGCTGAGGGAGAGTGTCAAAATGTGGCCTTATTGGGTGATCACAGGATTATTACAAACCACCCATCTAATGCATCTATAAAAAAGGCAAATACAGTCCTAAGATGCATCCTCTGGCATTGCCTGTAAATGTAAGGAATTACCAATGTCATATACAAGACACTTGTAAGACCTTATCTGGAAGACTGAGTGCAATTCTTAACACACATGTTCACTAACAGGAACTGAAACTGGGAAAAATTACCCCACAGGGCTGTTAATGGAATCAAATAAATTGATGGGCCTGTCTCTTACGAAACAAAGTGAAAAGAGGCAAATTGTTCACCCTGCCAGGGTGGAGAGTGAGGGTTTGGAACAGCTCCCCAGGAGGAGCTATGGGAGCAAAAATAGTTACCTTCTTTTTGACACATTTGTGAAAGGGTTGGTATGCTACCTTGGTCTGTAATAGAAGGGTATTGCATTAAAAGAGAGAGTAGCTGATTCCTGTTTCCTTCCCATGAGTGCACTATTGAAAGAGAAGTGTTTATAAACAGAATTTTAATGCCACAATAGTAATGTTTATAGTAGTTAACATTGATATTATCAGGAAAAGTTTTAAAAAAGAATGAGAGATGTGAACTCGAAGTAATTGTCAGTCTGTAAGTTGAACCTTCCCAGCCAGTGACCTAAAGATGGGTCAGTATAGCAGTATTAGACATGGTCTAGCTTTGTTTCCCACTCTTAGTGTTCCAGTTTAGGGAAGCTTTGAGGTCACTGACAAGTCTTATGGGGGTTGTACACCTTGCTGACTACACAATTTCTGATTTAGATAGCTGTGATTACACAGTGAAGAAAGATTTTGAAAACTTTATAACTTCGCCTTTAGTTAGTTAAAGCTTTGGGCAGACCGAGCTGGAGCAATGCCCTGTTCTTCCTGCCTCCCTTCCAGCCCAGGCCAGGCCAGACTTCTTATTTGCTATACAAGGTCCCTCTTAACAGACCCCTTTTGTTTGCTCCTTTGCTGGGCTTAGTCTGTTTGGAGTAGCTGTAATTCAAGGATTTCATTCAGTCCTCCAGCAATTTAAAATTATATTAGTCAGGGGATATTGGCATATGCACTAAATGGGTTTATTGAGCATAAAATAATGCTTGTAGTTCTCTCAGAGATCCAAACCTAATATGTAAAGATCTAGATCTGGGAGATAAGTCAGAGGGGTATCTTTTGTCATTCTCTCTGTTGAGTCTTGAGGCAATATATGCAGTAAGCATGCTTCTAAAATAAAAGGTGAAGGTCCAGTTTGCTATTTCACCATGAGGTAAAGACTTTTTCAATCCACACTCAGTTGTGTTTGAGGACTGTGTTATTTTGAGACATGAGTAATGCAGCTGTGCATTGCTTTTTAATGAAATATCAAGCAAAGAGGTGGTTCTTGTCCTGCTTTGTAATATATATTTTTTTGACTCCCTTTATCTTAATGCCAGTTGTCATTGTAAGAAATGTGTGCATATAAATCACGTGAAAATGTACTCCTTAATACAGGATGAGAGAGTTGATGATGCCATATTGTATTACTCAAAGGCCGGTATTTATGATGAGGGAAATTGTTATCTGTAAGAGAGTAATGAGTACATGTGCACAGGGGACTGTCAGATATAACTGACTATGTTGCTAACATATTTCGTACACATGGATTCTTATTCTATTCACTTCAGCTACTGTTGTAAATGACCCCTATTTTCAGTCCTGCTGTAGGATCTCTCAAACCCTTGCTATTTCATTACACCTATTTTCCAGACCCTATGAAACTGATTCATAGGTAAAATAGTTTGGGAAATCCCTTGAATAAAGTGGCGTGGGAAGATTACTGCTTGTCATAAGGTAGCTGCTGCCAGTCGGTATTGTTGGGAAATGGTGGTTAAATATGTTCTCCGCACACACTTATTTCTACCGAAAGAAAGGTAGTGAGTACATGGAACGTAACATATGGCCTCACGGTACGGTGCTATTTGTGTCACTTGGTGTCGACATCTCTTCTACTTCACCACAAGATTTGTGATATTTGATGCTGTTCTCAAAATCATGGGTCCTCGGGTTATGGGAATAGATCATCTTAGATTTTTTTCCTAAGTATAGTCCCACTCCTTATGGCTCTATCATCTTAAAAAATCTGGAGATAAAGTACAAGACTGTGGAATGTACTGAGAAAGACATAAAATGTATTCCTGCGTGTTGGCAAGGCTACCTCCCTGTAAGTACACAGCAGAAAGCGTCCAATTCACATTTCTCACTATGATTGAATTTGTACATTACTCCTGAGATTTTCATCCCTCTTTTACTATGAAGTAAGGAAACATTTAAATGAGTACTGTCAAAATTGATCTTCCGAAAATGTGACCACAAAAGACCTGGGAAGAAACAGAAACTGTATTTCCCAGATGCAATTACTCGACCCGGACTGAGGTTCCAAAGGCAAATGCCCATGTCACATAACATAGTTAATGTTAAAGGGCCTAATCCAAAGTGTATGAAAATCTGTGGAAAGATTTCCACAATCCCTTTTTCTTATCTGTTCTCAGATGTTGTGCACTCTGTTATCGTGCATACGTACATTGCAGATGGATGTTGGGAAGGGTAAAATAATTTTTAAAATAAGAAAAATATATTGAAAATGGATTCTGGATAAATTTCTTTTATTTTTGTTACTATAATTAAAATACATTTGTGGTGTAACCGTTGTTTGGTTTGTATAATACAAAGTTCTCAGTATTTTCTCAAAGATCCAGATTCCTTCTATAAACTGTTGATGCCTATTCTGATCATTGGGCACCCTGCCGCATACTGGAAGACATTAATTAAAATAAAATTAAATATCTGAGGGCACATTTGCACGTGAAGAAAAGATGTTTGACCTGTATTTTAGGGATTTTTTTGACAAGTGTATAAGGTAATTTTCATTTGTTCTTCTCAATAGTTAACCTGCTTTCCCACCTTGTCTTTATCACATAAAAGTAACTGAATCACTCATTCATTCAGGTTTTATTTAAACAAAGAAAAAGTATCTATCCAAAACTTTCATTGTTATGTATTTCTTCAGTTTTTACACCTTTGTAGCCTTCAACATCATGTTCTATTAAGATTTTAAAGTTTTATCTGTATTCTTTACCTCGTGTAATTATACTCTGTGGTCCAGTTCACGTACCTAGTTTTGTATAGGCAAGCATCACTGACATCAGGTTTCCCTTCCAGTCTGCGCCAACCAGTCTTTCCCCTACAGGTCCATAGTTTTCTTTTTGACGGTCCTTACCTGTCAGTGTCTCTCTAAAGTGAAGCCATAAGCATAATATCAAATTAAGTTATTCTTCACCAAAATAGAATATACCATGTGGTAAAAGTCAGAGTATAATTTGCTCTCACGATATTCATTTTTTTCCCCTTTGAAGTCAGTCTATTTCAGTCTTTCAACTTTGTCTCATGCCTTGAAACTGGACTCCAGATTTTCCTAGCCAGAGGTCACTGACCCTTCCAGCTCTGCCTTCCTTTTAAATCAACGGCATTTGGCTTTACTCGCAACTGCAGCACACTCATGCAGAGGAGGGAGTTGTTCTTCCCCCAGAAAGTTGATCTATGTGTGACTGATGCAGCCTGAGTAGGAGCGATGGAGGGCCAACCCAGCCTAACTCCGATTTATCTCTACAACCAGAAAACACGATTTTTAGAACAGCTCATCTGAGAACTGAGAAATTAGCTTTGGCTTTCTGGGAGGCTCTAATCAATTAAAAATATTTCCTCACCTCCACTCTGAGGAAGCTTCTGTAGCACTGCGGAAATTAGCTGAGCACCTAGTTGGCTGAGTCAGCAAGAAAGCGGGCAGCGTGCAGAATCGCATTCTCTTTTCAGCTGCATCCTAAGTATCAAGTTGGTTTTATGAGACGCCAGAGGGGAGGAAGGTATGGAACAGAGAAAGCAAGGCATAGATGTGGATGTGATCTCACGTTCTGCTAAAGGCCAGATGCTGCTGAGACTTCAGTCTTGGTCGCAAGATGAGGTTTCCCTTCAGCCCAAAAATACAGCATCTCCCTTGTAGTGCAGTGGGCTGAAGAACAGAGAAAGCTCTGCCCTGTTCAGAGCAGCCACTTAAAGAAATTAATAAAAATACTTAGATGGCCTGCCAAGGAAATAACCTTACATTCTCCAGTGCCTTAATGACCCCTCAACCTTCTAGCAATACCTTTGAGATTTCTTTTTCCTGCTAACTGTCTTCCTTTCATCCTTAA